GGTTTTAACAGTTCATAATATACTACGCCGAGCTGGTCCCACCAAATACAGAGCATGACCTTGGGCGTCAAAATCACCGTTCTTGAAGCGTTGAAACCATTCACGACACGTTCTTTCACTAATAGCGGCCTCACCATATTTGAGAGCATTCGATGAGCCTCAGCCGTAGATTTCTTCATATTGAAGCAAAAAATTAAAACCTCCCGCAAATGACGAGAATTTGGCTCGTAAACTGACATTTTCAATCGAGAATAACTTTATGATGCAGACACAAATCGACTAATGTTTCTATGGGATTATGTTGACAGATGCCCAAGTTTATTATATGACGTCTATGATCTATTTATTTTGACCACCAATTACCACTAAAGTCATCTATAAGAAAACGGCGGAATCAAAGTTGTACACCTAATATTTCATGCATTTTTGTCATACAACAAATTTTTCAAACTTGATTGGCTATATAAGATAGAGGATCTCTCTGTCCTGCACACATTTGATGCACGGTAAAACCGCACAAATGAAATAGTGGCCATAAAATATCTCAAGTAAGAGCTAACTATACGGACAGAGTGCGAAAAAGACAAAACCGATAAGTTTGTGCAATAATCTGCTACACAATCAGACATTGTAACTTGACAAATTTATGTCTTCATTTCATTAAAATGATTCCTTCACCATTCATTTATATTTTATCTTTTCATTTATATTTTATCTTAAAAAACAACGATTTTATAAACGTTTGCACAACATAATTATTTAACTGGTTCCTAAAAAACGTTTTTAAAATTGCCTCAAATGATTTTAAAACAAAAAGAACCATTCCTAAACATTTTATTGTTATTCTACTTGGGTACAGAGGAAACTAATCTCGGTTTTAAAGATAAGTAAATTTCATACAGCAGTATAATAGCAGAAAAATTTTGTCACAAAATATTATATATTATATCATTTCAAAATATTCCCGTATTTCATGGCACTTTTAAACTCAAGATATTTTTATTAATTAATACGGCAATTTACAAAAGAATTTTAAAGAATTGAAAATTTCGAATTTCATATTATATAAATCTTTGATTGTAGGTTGTTATAAAACTTATAAATCGATGTTCACCTTGGGGGCGTTTGGCATATCAATATAGCGTCAAATTTCACAAACTGTTTGATAATTAATTTGATACTATAATGAACAGAATTAGTTCAATCGGAGACGTTGATTTGAAACAATCAATATGAGAATATTCAACGTGTTCGGATTCTTCGGTATCCTTTGCATCAGTTACGATCAATCTTGTACGTAAGACAATAAACTAAATTAAGATAGAACTATTTGCGCAATTACGTATTTTTAAGTTTAATAATGTTTACGTTATTGTTTACATATTTTAAAAATAATTTTAATATTACAATTCTATCGTCTCATTCATTGTTTCAAATCATTTTAGTAAAAAATAATATTTAAATTACATAATTTTATTTAATTCAAATATTATTTTTTTGTTAGATATACATATTTGTAAATTTTAAATTAGTAAGTATCTCTAATGTTTTCATAGATGCTTTTGCTTTGTCGATCAATTTAATAAATAACGTGAATACATGGAAATGCAAGAAATTGGAACAGTCTTCACCATTAATGCGCCTTAAAAATCATCTCTTTTGCGATTATGATAATACTGTTCATCCGAATTATCCTAAAACAACTAATGTCACTATGCATTTAATGCCAAAGTTAATAAATTTCGTAAGTATATAGTTATGAAGAGGTTACAATATATAAATTAACAAATTAATTAAAAAAAATGGAATAAAAATTATAAGCTGAAAGTCTTCTAAATATACAATTTATAAAAACTTTGTAAATTTTACTTTTACTTCTTGATGTTAAACATATTTGTTAACAAAAAAAATTTTCTATTGTCACGTAAAATGTAAATTTCGATAAAACATTCATTTTCTCTCTAATATAATATTTAATAGCTACTTAATATATTGCGATGTTTAAAAATAATTAAATAATGTAATTATTTACAGCAAGGAGAAGGTAAACTATCTTTGCACAGCTGGATGTCACTTGTGAGTATACTATTTTTTTTTTTGACATTTTAGGCCTATTCTTTTTGACTGAATTTTTGCATCAGTTTATCTTTCTTCCTCTTCTTTCCTTCTGAAGAGAAAAGGAAGAAAGGTAACTTGATGCAAATGTTCAGCTAAAAAAAACAGACTTTATGTTTCATCTTTGTTCTAACACAGTAAAATAATTGATATTTTAATACAATATTTCACAGGCTTGGATGGACTCACAACTTACTTGGACACCGAGCGATTATGACGGGATTACTTTTATTCATATGAAAAGCTGGCGAATCTGGATGCCCAGTCTATACGTCAATGATTCGTAAATTAATTTTTGAAAATTAATTCTGTCCTTTCTATAGATCATTAAAGGCACTTAATTCTACATCATATTTTAAAATCTTTAATCAGTTTTTTCGATTGTTTTAGCGGTGAAATGTCGAGTGACCAATATAAGCTACCTGTAACAGAATGCTTGCTCTTTAACTCGGGCTCTGTAAGTTGCGTACCTGCGGTGAAATTTATTTCCAAATGTAATCCCGATTATACTTATTGGCCTTATGATAAACATCAATGTCGCGTCACATTTCTTTTGTGGATGCATACAGGAGAAGAAGTCGATTTGTTGATAGATGGAAATGGGGTGTGTGTTTTAGTTAAAAATCATTTAATTTAAGTCTTTAATTATTTGTAATTTTGACCGAAAATTTTATCGAAACTGAAAACGAACACTCATTACCTACGTGTTTTGATTGAAATCATATATAGCTCTTCTTTATAAATATTAATTTTAATATTGTAATTATTTTTTTCAATAATTAAATTATGATGTTTATGAAGAAGAAGTATTTATATTCTTTATCCAAAATTGATACACAACGGAAATTTTGGTTTTCGATTTCGGCCGAAATTTAATTATTATCAATAAATTATGATATTTATGAAGAAAAAATAGATGATATAAGGGCTGTCTATACATATGGCCTTTATAGGATTCCTTTATTTTAATTTTGGTTTCAATTTCGATTGAAATTAACATATAGCCGAGTGATTCAGTTTCGGCAAAAATTTCGGTCGAACTCTACAATATTATTATTATCACTGCATTATCATTACATTAATAGTGACTGTTAATTATTCTTATCTCCTCCAAATAATATTTTCTCTGTATGCAAATATTAATTTAATAAAATTATGAAGAAACTATTACTCTGCAAAAATCTCAATAGTTAAGTTGTATTTAATACAATATTAATAAGAAGTACTTTTATAACCGCGTTTTTAGTATTTTTATCTTTTGTACAGTACTTATCTACATAGAAAAGATTACTATTTTATTAAAAAAAAAGGAATAAAATATTTAATCGCATCCATTATTGATTGCAAATATTTTTATTGTAAAAAAATAATATTCTTTGCAGATTTCTATGAGCGACTACACAAATGATACGAAGTGGGATTTCAAATTCACAAGTTCGATGAGGGAAGCCACAAAATTTAAATGCTGTCCGAACGATACATTCCCAAGGATCAATTATAATTTCTTATTGACGCGCCATCATGGCAAACATTACTTGACTGTTATTGTACCGGCTATCGGTGAGTAATTGCTCACAAAGAGCAGGGAATAATTAATATTAAGCATGATATATTTCTTTTCAGCTTTAATGCTACTCACTTTAATAGTACTCTGCCTCGATTTAAAATCCGTTGAACGAATGATGGTGGCAAGTGCAAATTTTATTTGTCATTTGCTCTGTATATTTTTTTTATTTTGGATTCTACCATTCAATCGTGTTAATCCCCCAAATATATGTAAGTATCAAAAACATTATCAAAATATAATAACATCAAAATATAAAATATATAAAGAATATATGTTCTCTAATTTATAATTTCAACAAACTTTTTTCATAACAACATTAGATTAATTAGAACTCAAATGATTTTTAATTTTCTGATTAATTGTATGCTCAAAATAATGGATTACTATAATCTAAAATATTTTTCGATTTAATTTGTTGAAGAAAATATAAAGTATAAGATTACAGTATATATAGTATATATTAATTAGAATTAAAATTATATTCAAAAATTTACAATATATCGTAAATGCCGAAAAATAAGCATTAGTTAGTATTAAAACCGATCATAAAAGACATAGTTTCAATTATACAATAAATTTTATTTAACAAATGAGTAAATTATTAACAAATTTATATATTTTATGTTTCATCTTGCAGTATTATTTTATCGGGAATCCTTAGCGTTGGCAACATTCGTGATGATACTGACGGCGATGTTACGCAAACTGGAAAATATGAGCACACAGACCCCAAATTGGATCTTGTTCACTACGACATTTGTTTTAAGCAACAAGGTTGGACGTTTTTTGATTCTCAAAAACAACAAAATTGCAGACAAAGATGTAGAGACTGAAGGAAGTTCAGAATCTGAAATAAGCCTAAAAGAATCGTCCTGGAAATATTTTGCTACTATTATTGACTGGTTATTTTTCTTTTGTTTGATTTTTATTTATATAATTATTTTGATTATTTTACTACCTTATTAATTTGTCAGAAAGAATATTAACGTTAGAATATTTGCCATAGTGTTTGTTATATCTTCTATAAATGGAATACTCTCCATTTAAATATCATTTTGATGCATGTATCTCTTATGTTATTACCTTAATTATTTTTTATCCAGAAAAATTTAAATCTATAGCGAAGATTGTTAACATCGAATAATTTTTGTTTGTTTAATTTGTATTTATTCAAATAGAGATTAATTCACAAAATAGAGATTAAGTCTTAAGAATTAAGTACATCTTAATCTGTTCAAACTTATTTATTTTAAAGTAACGGAATGTTATACTACTCTTATATATTGTCATTAAATTAATATTGCATCTAGATATATGATATAATAATGAAATTATCACATCTCCGTTATCTCAATAAAAACATTAATTCATCATTCATCAATTTGATGCGCAACAGTGGAATTGTACCTGCAATGTATCTACGATAATTCTGTAACAAATAAATATAAAATTCAAATTAAACCGACAGAAAAACAATCATTGCACAATACAAAAAAAATTATTAAATGCATGCAAAGTTTTCTATAAAATAATCATGTAATTTTTAAAACATAATTTTTATAAACATCATTTTTATTTTATTTATTATTTAATTACAGATATTCATGAAAATAATTACATATTTCCTAAAAATCTTATCTTAAAACAATCAACAAATAAAAACATAAGTTTTTATAAAACTTCAAAACAATTTAAAGTAATTCTTTTTTCTAATTATTATTTTTAAATTATTATAAAATAAAATAATTAAAAAATAAACAAGAAAAAGATTAATTTTATTCAAGTAAAAAATAATATTTACCACACACTATGCTCTATCGATGCCTAATGTCTTTCCCAGACCTTCTCCTTCCCTCAGAACTAGGTTGTCACTTCGCACATTTGCGCATAATCATTAATCGCGGGCGAACTAATTATTATTTGAACAGCACTCCCGAAATAAACGTGCGACGCGACGAACAGACTGCAGTTCATTTTCAATTAAATTGGCGACAAATAGTAGTTAACTTCATCGTTATTAGATTTTTACACGGAGAAAATACTGAGTCCTCCAACTTTGTCCTCCAACCTGCCCAGCAAACAAAAATAGATTGAAATGAATTGAAATGGATTCAGATTTTCAGAAATATTGATTCACGAAATTAAAATGAATGTTTTTCAATTCTGAATGTATTTTTATTCATTTATAGGAATTGCATGTAGCATATCTCTATGCTTTTCAATCTAAAAATAATATTAATTTTTTCTGTGCACACAATTGTGAATACTGTTCAAAATTTTAATAGGAAATACAGTTTTTCAATCGATTTGCATCCAATTGAATCCAATTAAATCCAAAAAAAATATTCACTATTTAAAATACGCATTCGGATAGAAAAAAATTTTAATCCATTTAATCTGTTCTTGTTTGCTGGATGTAAGAGGAAAGATATATTTTAAAATATAATATACAAAATTATCTATTATTATTGTATAATCGGTTTATTTTTAAGAATGAAAATCGAATATCAGTTCGTTATATTGCGAAACAAAGAAAACATTTAGAACAGATAGAAGAGATGAATCTCTTATATAATTTCTATATGAAATATGTATTATAATATTTGAAAAACATAAATCGAATAGCTCATAGATTATGATAATAAGAAAGAAAATATATCTTCTATTATCGACTTATTATTATTTTTGGCAAAAGATCATAAAGTTACGTTGGATTTTTGTACGCACATAACGAAGGATAAAAACAAGAAGCGAATTAAATTCATTTTAATTACATAAACTGCATGAAAAAATGAAGAAAATCATTTATATGAGAATATGAATCGCGTTATTTGTATATATTTATTATAATGTTACGTTTTTATAACTTGTACAATATCATTTAACTAATTTCAAAATATAATCGAGAATTATACTCAAGCAAAAGAAAAATTTTATGTTAATGTCACGTCCGAGAATAGGACTTAAGGAAATACGTGAAAGGGAAGTGCGTGGAGTGAGCCTTAGCCTTTGAGCCTTTGACAACCACGAGAGTTTATGTTGCGGTTGCCAAATTTAATTATTATTCAAAAAATTGTTTAGATTTGATAATCGTAACTTTCATTCAACTCTACTGCTGTCACCAATCTTATTATGTTAAAACATATATTGTTAGTGTCGCTTAACGGATTACAAATTTTTGCTAAACTAAATATGGCACAAGCCATTTGCAACTACCAGTGGACGAAGGAATGGCAAAGACTCAGCGATAGACTCACAAGGGAATCTTCAAAGTAAACAGACTGCAATTCGATATAAGTACAGCACCAATTCCAGAAATTAGTCGACCCATCCTAACTTCAGTTCAGGAATACTTCTATATTATGACGACGTATTGATTGGTGCGTCTTCAGAACAAGAACTCTACAATCGAATTCGAAAAGTTTTAAGGTTTTAAGATTTTAGAAACAATGGGCTTAAAAACAGATAAATGTATTATTGGAATTAAATCAATAGATTTTTTGGAAAATTACATCAACAATTAAAAAATACAACTTCTAAGAAGAAAGTGAGAGATATCCAATAGGCCCCGAAATCAACGTTAAAACAAGAACTCTAGTCATTTTTAGGTTTAATAAATTTTTATCATTCTTTCCTGAAAAACAAAGTTATGATGGCCAAACCGCTTCACCGACTTCTGGACAAAGATACACCATGGCACAAGGTGCACGAAAAAACTTTCAAAGAGCTGCTATCCGATGCTTCTAACACACTACGATAACAATAAGAAATTAATATTGTCATGCGATACATCACCTTGGGGAATAGGCGTAGTTCTGATACGAGGTGAAAGGCTCAATTAAACCTATAGTATACCACTCCAAGATTCTTTCTGTGGCAGAGTGGAATTATTCACAGTTGGATAAGGAAGCATTAGTCATTGTTACAAGGATCAAGAAATTTCATAATTACTTATACGCTAGGCCATTCGTCATCGAAACGGATCATAAATCTTTGCTAGGATTGTTAGAAGAAAAGACACCGATGAGTCATAACTCTCCATGCCTGGTGATGAGCACTTTTTATGAGCAACTACGATCTTGATACAAACTTAAGAGACAAATGAGCATGTCCATGCCCCAAGATTTCCACTGAGGAAGACGAATGCACCAGAATCAGCGATAAATAATGTGCTAATGATAGAACTTTTGTCAAAAATTCCCTTGAAGGCAGACGTTATCACGCATTTAACAGACAAAGATCCAAACTTTGGATAAAGTCAAGAAATTTATTCAATCCTGCTGGCCGAGAAAAGTAGAAGAAGCACTAAAACCAGAGGGAACGAATCATGTATACAAAGACTGCATCCTTTAGGGGACCAGAGTAGTTCACGTCAACAAGCTCTTTCTTTATTGCACAGATCACATGTCGGAATAATGAAGATGAAAATGTTAGCTCGTAGTTATATGTGGTGGCCAAAGATGGATGCCGATATCGAAAAAATATCAAAAGCATGTATAAGTTGTCAGTTATAGCAACAAAATTTCACGCGCACTCCAAGACACTCATGGGAATGACATTCGTTTTCATGGAACTGCGTTCACATAGATTTTGCCGGATCCTTTCAGGGGCATATGTCCACAGACTTTAAAAACTTCACAATCAAGAACGACACTCACTGCTATCATCCAGCTTCTAACGGCCAAGCATAACGAATGATCAAAGAAGTCAGGAAAATGCTTTCAAAGCTAGGGAGAGGCAATATCCATTTAAAAGTCACAAGATTCCTCTTCTCGAATCATACACCATCTTCTGTTACAAGAATCACCTTAGCAGAACTTCTTTATCAAAGAAAATTAAAGACTGGGCTGGATTTCATGTTTCCGACCGTATATCTATCGTATAGATATACGAATCAAGCAATTCAACTAGAAATGCGGGAACACTCGTACCCATCAATTTACTCCAAATCAATTTACAGCAAAATTTGGGTGAAAAATTTCCGATCGGGCCCTAAATGGAAGGCAGAAATCGTCCTGCAACGTTTAGGTTCAGTCACATATCGCCTGTCCAGGAAAGAAAGATTTACAAACGGCATATCGATTAAGTTCGAAGAAAAACTATCGAAGAAACAGAGCCTTCTTTTCTTTCTCTCCCCTCCTCCTCCTTTTCAACATGATATCTTGATGAACCGGGCTTTATCTGAAACATCAACGAGGCTCCAGTCGATGAGGAAGACCGCGCGGAGTCTTTCTTCAGGAAGATTGCAGCAAGAAAACATCTACTCTGTTATTTGGAAGATTACGTCCTCAACTGGGAGAGGAGGAATAGCGTATTAGCGTTGACCATTTAGCATTATTGCGAATCTGAGTAACTGACGGGGGAATAACATCTAAAGTTCATGCACTTGTAACGGCAGCAGGAAACTTTGTATTGATACACAATAAACTTTATTTGAATACAATAAATCTTATTTTGAGACATAACATGCTCCAAATGTATTGGGAGTAAAAATAAGTTTCCGCTGTTTTTTATAAAAAATTAAGCATTTATTGTGAAAGAACGGTATATAATGTTTTATTCAAAGTAATGGCCATCGCTAGCCACTACTTTTTCCCATCTTTCTGATAACATGTGGATATCGTATCGGAAGAACGCTTCATCTTTTGAGACTATCCAATCATCGATATAATTTTTGGTATCTTCACATGATGTGAAGTGCTGCTCAGACAGGCCATGCGTCATCGATCGGAACAAATGGTAGTCGAAAGGAGCAATGTCTGGAGAATATGGCGCGTGGGGTAGAACTTCCCATTTGAGTGTTTCTAAGTAGGTTTTGACCGTCGCCGCAACATGTGGTCGAACATTATCATGCAGGAGAATAATTTTGTCATGCCTGGAGAAGTAGTGAGCGCATTTTTCCTTGAGTGCTCGACTCAATTGTGTTCGATAGAGAACCCCAATAATGATCTCGTTCGGTTTGAGCA